CTATTTCTTACCATCTGCCCTGTTATTGCTCTCACCAGAGCTGCCATCATCTCTTGCTGCAGTGACTGTATTAGCCTGTTTCCATTCTTGCTGTTCTATAGTTTATTCTCAGCACATAGCCAGAGTGACCCTGTTGAAAAGGTAAGTTCTACTTACTTAGAATGGAAAGCCAAAGTCCTTACAAGGACACATTAGTCTTAATTACAAGGACACATTAGTCTTAAAACTCTGGCTCCCATTTTCTGACTTCATCATGACCACTCTTTCCTATACTCACTCTCCTCCAGCCACAATGGCCTGTTATTCCTCCAATATATCCATCATTTAATCAACCTCAGAACCTTTGCACTTAGTATACCTTCTGCCAACAGTAATCTTTCAAACATCCATACTCCTGCATTCCCTTACTCTTCAGGTCCCTCCCTGATCAACTGTCACCTCTTCAGAGAAGCCCTTCTTGCCTATCTTCTATGAAATTGAATCACATTTTGCTCTAGTCCCTTACTGGGTTTTTATAGGACATATTATACAGTCATTTCTTTATTATCCATCTCCCCCACTAAAATATAAATCCTTTTAGGGCAGGAAATTTGTTGCCTTTGTTTATTGCCCTAAGCCATATCTACAAAAGTGCCTGGCACATAGAACCAGATATTTGTTGAAAGAACTCTGAATGCCTGAATAATTCATTTTAAGAAAATTCAAAGTTCCCCGATACCATACACAGTAGTCAGTAAATTCAAATGTATTACTCTCATCATAGGACATAAAGAAAAATTTTCCATCACAAAATAGTAAGATTAAGATAATCTCATTGATAGATCTATGATTGGTTATAGGCATTCACAGAGACCTTCTTAGCCACTAAAAAGGACATCAAGGCTACAGTCCATGCCCTTTCACAATGTACCCCTGATACAACTATCACAGATAGGCTCTTCTCCTCCCAGAACTGTTCATGCGCTTTATATCCTAGCTAGAACACCTGTTTGGATGAAAAATAAATCCAAATGCCAGATATCTTGGACTTTTATTAATCACCTAGATTTTATTTATTCTTCATAAAAGAAATGTGTTAAATGGGTGACTAAATACTGATTTGTGTCTACTCCTTTAATTCATTTTAAACAAATTCTAAATCAAGGTTTTAAAAAAGTACCTTTTAAAAGATTTATTTGAGAGAGAACATAACGGGGATAGCAGTGTGGAAGGGCAGAGGCAGAGGGAGAAGCAGACTCCCTGCTGATCAGGGAGCCCCAACTTGGGGCTCAATCCCAGGATGCTAGAATCATGACCTGAGCCAAAGGCAGACAGAGGCTTAACTGACTGAGCCACCCAGGTGCCCCATAAAAAAAAGTACTTACTTCTGAACTGAACAAGATCCTCCTTTTACCAACATAGCAAGACCAAAAAGAGGCAGATAAGCACAGCCGGTAAGAATATGAGACTGGGATCCCATTTATAATTCTATTTTGAAGGATAATTAACTTAAAACCTCAAGATTCAAACCTATAATTGAGTAATTATTCGCTGTGTTTTTGGGGCTTTTTTTTTTTTTAATCCAAACTAGGTAGAAGGCAAATAGTAAGAGAATGGAAGAAATCATACTCAGAAAAATACTCTTAATATAAGAGGCTACTCATTTTATAGACTCTTACCGGATAATTAAAAACCACCAATATGCAAAACATCAACAAACTAAAATTTCCTTTGTCCATGTTTGTTCATCAGTCTCAAATGCCACAAGACTCTGAAGCGAAAACTTCTAGTTATTTCCTGGCCTAGAAAATCATGTGCTATAAGGAAATTCAAATTAATATCTTCTATAAAACCTAGATCGGCGGGACAGAATGACTCTTAGATACCAGAAACAGCAAAAGCCACAAGTATTAATAATGACATCTAAATTCAGAGGAATGAAGTCTGCTGGGATGCCTGTCAGGATTTCACTAGGTTACTAGGTTATTCACTATACAATAGGAATGTTGCTGATGGGGTAGGAGTCTTATAACCAGAAGCAGCTAAGAAGATGGAAGCCAGTCAATGCAGAAACAGAGATGTCAGCCCAAAGGGGTTTATACACCTTGTAATTGTTCTAAAATTTTGATTGCAACCTATTACTCTTAGAATGACAGCAGGAGGTGACACTTGGGTAGCTCAGTGGGTTAAAGCCTCTGCCTTTGGCTCAGGTCATGATCCCAGGGTCTTGGGATCAAGCCCCACATCGAGCTTTCTGCTCAGCAGGGAGCCTGCTTCCCTTCCTCTCTCTCTGCCTGCCTCTCTGCCTCCTTGTGATCTCTGTCAAATAAATAAAAAAAAAATCTTAAAAAAAAAAAAGAATGACAGCAGGAAAAAAACAATGTTTTAATTTTACTAATAATGAACACCTATTAAGTGCTGGGCACTATAAGCATGTTAAATAGGTCACCCTGTTTAATGAAACCATTAATAAATGTCATTTAAGGATTTAACGACAATCTGAATAATGCAAACTCATCTGTCCAGCACTCAGCTGTTCAGCAACCTCCTCTCTCTGCAATGTGGTCAGGAACCAAGAAAGCAAGGACAGCCATTGTCGTATTCAGGTACTAGCCTTCAAGGGTTCACTTTTACGAAAAGCCCTCACCCACAGGACATTACAGATAAAATTGCATTGAATTTGGAACCAGAAAGCTCAGGACTGGACAGGCTTAAAAATCCAAAAGCAAAATAGCCTAAGGAAAGTCATTCAGCTGTTTACCTCATTATAACCTGATGACTTATCTGATAGCACAGTGTAATAATTCCTTTAGGGCAAAGATCCTAATGTGTTCATTGTGGTACGCCCCATAGGGAATCAAGTTCTTGGAGCATCATATGTGCTCAATTTTCATTAATGATGCTCCTCGGGTATCAAAAAGATTACATTGACTATATTCAACAAAGAGCAAAAACACGTTTGAAAAGATTTTCATCCACTGTTAACATTCAAATAAAGGTTAGAAGATTAAAAGAGGGAGATCCTCAGCTGTCCAGAGAAATGGATTATTGAGAATTTATTGAACAGTCTCCAAGGGTTCCAGGAAACTGAAGTTTCAGAAGTGCACACAATACTGTGTTCCCTGCTGGTGGGCCAAAGCATCCTGACTCATACCACCTTCTGAGACTATGAGCCAGGTGGAAAACAGTGATCTGTAAACTCAAGCAACTGCAGCTCCCTATAGAACTTTGCTCAGAACAGCAGCTTCCAGCTTCCTAGAAATGTCTGTTAATCCCCTTAACAGCAGACACCTGGCTAGCTCAGTCAGTTAAGCCTCTGCCCACTCAGGTTCATGATCCCAGGTCCTAGAATCAAGTCCCACACCCACTGGCTCCCTGCTCAGTGGGGAGTCTGCTTCTCCCTCTCCTCTGCCCCTCCACCTGCTTGTGCTGTTTCTCGGTCTCTCTCAAATTAAAACAAAACAAAACAAAACCTTAATAGGATATCCAGAATTGAGACAACTCTGAAGAGGTCCACAAATCAGGCAATCAACACCCAGGATTATGGGAAAGTAGGAAATAATTTATCTCACTTCTAAAATCCTATTGTTGGGGCGCCTGGGTGGCTCAGTGGGTTAAAGCCTCTGTCTTCCGCTCGGTTCATGGTCCCAGGGTCCTAGTATTGAGCCCCGTGTCCGGCTCTCTGCTCGGCAGGGATCCTGCTTCCTCCTCTCTCTTTCTGCCTGCCTCTCTGCCTACTTGTGATATCTGTATGTCAAATAAATAAATAAAATCTTTAAAAAAATCCTATCGTTCTCACCACTTACAATCACGTTCTGTTTGGGGGACTGCTAACCAGCCGACCAAAGGCAGATAGGATAGGAGGTAATAGATACAGAATTTTGGGTGCAGAGGGACCCTGGTGAAACACTGACATGAAGAAGAGATGAATGTGTGTGCTCTAACTTTAAATACGTAATTATTCAATTTCATGAAGTCCGTTTCATTGTAAAATGCACTGCTGTGGCTGCCGAGTAGCTGAGGCACTATCATTCAGGCTTAATGATTAAAATTAACTCTTAAAAGAGAAGACTCCTCTCTTTTAAGCTGAAAATGATTTTTCATATTACAAAGAAAATAGAGGTGAATGGTGTTTACGATCTTTCTGCGTGGAAACTTTCTAACAGGACCACGAAACTGCTACTCTGAGCTGTGACTTTTGAGTTGACTGTAGGATGCACACACACACACCCCCAGAGTTGTTGTTGCTGTTGTTAACCCCTGTAGGAGGCACGTCCAGGCAAGGCTGGAGGAGCCAAGCATGCACTCCACCACCTGAGCAAGCCCTGAATGAAGGAAAGCATAATCTCTAGCAAAACTTGTTTCCTGTCGCTGCTAAGAGGTTGGACTCGCTCCTTCTCACATGGCTTAAGAGCTGTAAACACAGCCTAGCTCGCCAGCTGGCCCCAAGCTCAGGGGGCTTTCGGGGACAACCACTGCATGGTGCTCCCTTTTCCTCCCTTTGACCGGTGTCATTCCTGTACAGATAACGGTACCGGAACGTCCTCCACTTCCTAGAGGCATTTATGTTATGGTTCCTCTTTCAAGAAAACATGGGGATGAAACGCAAAGTAGAACAGACTAAAAGCAGAATGACCGCAGCATCTCGGTTTATCCCTCACCATTGTTACTGTAAAAGAGCTGGATCAAATTCCTTTTGTTGCCCTACACACGCACAAACGCACGAAAGTAGGTGAAGGCAGGGCACCCTAAGACAGTTTCGTTTTGTTTTTTTCTCCTCCTCACAGAAAGTCTTTATGAAATCCTCATATCATCTCCGGACGCAGGACTTCAGCATTCTGCTAAAGACCTAAACCATTTCAAGCCAAGGTACGAAAAGCCGAAGCGATCCCCAAAGCAGAAGGCTGGGAGGCAGGGCAAGCTGAGCGCACCTAGATGTTTGCATTTACACAAAGAAATTATCCGGAAGATTAATGGGAGATGCCGGCTGGAGGCGGAGGCGCCCGCGCCGGCTCCCTTACCTGAGACATCTGCGGCCTCAGGTTGATCTCCTTCAGGTTGATGGAGTGCGCCCGGAGATTGTTGAGCAGCTGGCAGAGCAGGACTCCATCGCGGAGGGTCTGCGCCAGGTCGAACACCTGCGCCGAGTCCCAGGTCACACGGTGGTTGGCGGGCAGCACCTTGCAGTGGATGAGCCACTGCGCGCACTGCTTCCACGGCTCCATGCCCGACGGCTCCGGGACACGGCCCGGCCGGGGCAGGCGGCAAGGATGCGGCCGCCGCCGCGGTTTCTCCACGCCCCGCCGACGCCAGCCGTGGCCGGCCCCTGCCCTGCAGGGGTGCGGGGGAGCGGGCGCCGCGGCCGGCTGGTCCGGGGCTCCGCGCGGGGCTCGGGTGCGGTGCCGGCCCGGCTCCTCCTCCGCCCGGCCGCCGCTGCAGCGAGTCCCTCGCGCTCTCGGTGCGCCCCGGCCGGCTCCGCGGCGGCGGCGGCGCACAGGCTTCCGACTCGCGAGCCCGGCGCCCGGCGACTGAGCATGCCCAGCGCGCCGGCCGGTCTCGCAGCCGTCTGCGAGTCCCCAGAGGCGCGGTGGGAGAGCGCCGCCGCGCCGGCCTGGGGTCGGTGCCCGGGGCGGGGGAGCCTAACGCCCCCGCCCACCGCGCCCGTGGGTTTGCGTAGCTTACACCCCTACCCCCACCCCCGCGGCGTCTGGGGATTTCCCCTGGGGTAGGCTTCCCGGTTCGGGGAAAGTGGGGCTGAACACTGTAATACACAGGGGTTCCTACTGGGACACCCTCCCAGTGGCGACTGCAATTTTTTAAAGGGTCCGAGGGGAGCGAAAGCTTAATCTGGGCACGAGGACTCCCCTGAGAAAAGAGAAAAGGACCCAGAGCATCTTGAGAACGCCGTGCTGGAAGTTTTAGAGATCGTCACCACTCTCTGCTTCCCATTCTAACCCCTAAATTATCTTCTTGCAGGTAATTCCTGTGTCTCCAAGTTAGTTGCTGGTAAGGAGGTTTTTGGCACCTTAAAAGTGTGTGTGGAGACGCCTGCAGAAACCTGCACCTAACCCCGAGCCTATTTCGACGCCAGGTGTTTTTCACTTAGAGACGGCTTAGCTCTCAGACCGGTGACTTGCTCATCCCTGCAGCCCTGGCGATTTCCTGACGCACAGAAAGCTGCGGGGCACAAATAGGCCAGTGAGACGCCCATGGAGTGCAAGCCGCCAACTGCGCATGCGCTGGTGATCCGGGACCAGGTTGGAGAATAATTAGCATAGGTCCTCAGCTGTGCCTTTCGGGCCAAGCTCTGGGACCCTTAGCAAAGTTGGAACATATCCCCAGAACTCAGAGCTGACTGAAGCAGTGCATTCACATTTCTTACATCCTTTGGGGACTCCTAACTGGGCCGCTTTTACTCCCACTGCCCCTCAGAACCAAAAACAATGTTTAAACTCTTCATGGCCAGATGCTACCACATTGAACTCTTACTGTTCTGTATAAATGTGGTCGTGGCTCGTCCTTTCCAGATGTATCCTTTTAAGTTTTGAAACGAAGAAGTGAGATTTTAGGGGTTCTTTTTATTACACTTCCGTAGCTCAAATTTTCTATTATGAACCATATTAATTTTGTAAGAAAATGAAAAAAAAATTTTAAAGTATATCTGATCTATTAAGGACAGAGACTGTGCCCTTTTCCATTAGTCTGTGAAAATCGTAGCACACTGTGTACACTGAGCGTTAAAACAATAAATCAGCCGAAGGATTTCCTTTCCTTCCATGCATCCTTCCCCAGCAATTTCCCCTTGTGTTCAATCCAGATTACATCAATGGCACCATGTTTCCTAAACTACAATTTTGGCAAATAAATCATACTAAACTTCGCATAGTTTTGGAAACAAAATCCAACACATCTGAATCACCATGTAATACACAACCTTGCATAAAGAGAAAATTAATTGGAAAAGAAGTTGCATTAAAAAATAACTAAAAGTAAAAACTCCATTTCAGGTAGCATTAGACTACCCTTGAGTTTTGTAGGACATTTCTAAAACCCAGATAACATACACTATACCAAGAGGCAGAACTAGGCTTAGAGCTTGAGCTTGGCTAGTTTCTAGCAAAATAACCTTGAGAAAATTACATAATGCCTCTAACCTTCAGTTTCCACATATGTAAAACGAGAGAAATAATCCCTCATAGTGTCATCGTCAACATCAAACGATAACAGCGCCTTGATCTTCAAAAACGCAGTCCATGGGCCAGCAGCACCGCCTGAGAGCTTGCTGGAAATGAAGACTCTCAGTGTCTGCGCCAGACTGAATGAATCAGAGGCTTCCATTTAACAAGACTCCCCAGGTGACACGACTTTATGCTAAAGTCTGAGAAGCACTGATTTGATGCATAGAACATGCAGTACCCAACAGTAAGGACTCCATAACATTAGCCAATAGCTTTTTGTTCACAAAAAGGCAGCAATGACCAAACAAATTTTATTTCTGTTTTTTTAAATTCATATATATTATAATATGTATACTATTACTTCAAAACTTAATACTTCTTAAATTACAGTGAAGCAGAGAGTGACGAAAAGGGCAAGAGGAAAAGCTACGGAAGGCATAGAGGAGAAGGGGACTAGTAGAAGTGCAGGGTTCTTCAAGTAAACGAGGGGCTAAGTGACAAAACAGGAGTCATGTGGAATTCATTCAAGTGTCAGAAATTAGACGACGAAAACGGGGTTTTTTGAGCTGTCAGCCCAAGTCGTTTTCTTTTAAAATCTTACTACTTAGTGACAGTGACCAGCTGGGGGATAAAGACTAAATTCTGTCAGTGGCAACTCCTTGCCAGTGCTCTGCCCGTGTTCCCATGAAGACCATTTTTGCATGTGTGACTCGGGACTTAGGACTCAGGGGACCCACTGCCCTGAGACCCGAATTAGCTCCTGAGGGACACCCGCAGTCTGCCTTTTACCCAATGTCAAGCCCTCTGTTGGGTACTTGACAAACATTTACTGCAAAGTAGAAGATGTTCTCCTTTCCTAACAGATGAAGAAACAATATCACAGGCAGTCAGCACCCCCTTCTTCTGGGTTACGAAGCTCTCACAAGAGAGTGTGAGTGTGATTGGCCTCCACATCTGTGCTGGTTTCTATACACAGCTGCTCTCCATTATAATAATTACTTTAGCGAGTTTAATTACTGTTTTAAATCTCTCCCCACTAGACTAAAACACCTTGAAGGCAAGGATAGTAACTTATTCATCTTCAAATTCCCAGAACCAATCCTGGTGATTGGCACACCATAAGCATTCAAGAAATATTAGTTGAGTGAGTAATGAATGAACAAATGAGCTATGGTGCCTCTTCCTACTCTCTCTGCCCTCTCTTCCTGGTAGTGAAAAGATCAGAAAGCATTCACGGTATTACTGTCAGGCCACATGAGAAGGTCTGCTCCTTCCTGTGTGTCTTGTGAGCCTTTGGGGGCCCTGCAGTGTATCAGGCACCCTCTCTTCTCTCTTGCATTGCTCTGCGGTTTGGAGCTTTGCCTCAGCCCCGTGTACTATAAAAGTGGGAAACAGTAAGGGTGGTATCTGAGCTTCAGGAAACAAGAAAGACAAGAAGGCAATAGATGATGGGTATCACACACTAGGTCTCTTTCCACGTTCAAAATCACACCATAATCAGGAAGTGAGGATTTGAGAATTCCCTAGGTTATGCCTCAGTTCTAATGTACCAAAGGACTGTATAGGAGATGAAAGCCACATAAATTCATTTCTTGCTATACAATGTGTGCTGTCACTCAATCCTCACCAATTTTTTTTCTTTTTATTATTTCAACTGTTAAGGTTACAAAAGCACTAATATCTATCTACCACCAAGAAATTCAGAAACCCACATTTCTTATTCTATATTTATTTATTATATGTCAGAGAAGTGAATCACCAACGTTATAAAGCATATCAAAGATAAATCTCTTGGGGCACCTGGGTGGCTCAGTGGGTTAAAGCCTCTGCCTTTAGCTCAAGTCATGATCTCAGGGTTCTGGGATGGAGCCCCTCGTCGGGCTCTCTGCTCGGCAGGGAGCCTGCTTCCTCCTCTCTCTCTGCCTGTCTCTCTGCCTGCCTCTCTGCCTACTTGTGATCTCTATCAAATAAATAAATAAAATCTTAAAAATAAATAAATACCAGAGAACCACTGTAAAGATAGGATGGGTTAGAGCTGGATTTCTATAGCAATGATTCTTTCAATAGATGTGAATGTTATTTATTCAAATCAGTGTGAATTTAAATATTTTAAGTATAACTGAGTAGGATCTTGTTAGGACCACAGGATTTTCTTTTCTCTTCTGACATGTTTAAGCCCTGATAAAAAAAAAAATAATAATAACAGCAATGATGATGATGGCCCTTATTCAAATTACCACTTAGCATCTAACAAAATAAATTTACTTGCGATAATTTATGACACAAACAGCCATCATAGTAGCAGCCTAAAAAGGAGCATAAGAACATGACCAAAGCCCTTGCGTTACAAGGGATCGACTAATAAAATACTAATTAGCTAACTAGTGTCCAAATAAATGAAAATATACGTGGTCCTACGCTCTCTCCACTGTGGATACACACACACAAACAATGACGCTCCAAAGGTTTAATTCACCAAATTAACCGCACCTCAGCTGGATCTTCTGAGTGTCTGGTCCTCATTAAACATGCTGCAGCCCTCAGGCCCTGGTGAGACATTAGTCTCCTCTCAAGTATTAACAGTAATACATGTACACATTATGTTTTAAATATGACTGAGAAGGTTGGACTTGCAGGGAAAAGCTAAATAGCTAAACAACTGTGTATTTCTATAAACAACAAAGGGCCTTGATCTAATTTGTGGAACATTTCAATTTTATTTGCATGTTGATATAAATGTCAAAGAGAGAGCTCTTCATACTGAGATGATGAATATTAAAATCCAATTGGGAAGCCTGTGATATCCCTGTTTCCACAAAATCCTATGCATATCATTATCCTTATACTGATAACCTTGTAGAATTACTATCTCCTGAAGTGTCTGGCATGACAACTACCACCCCCTTCCCTGAACTCCTCCCTGCCCCTCTTGAGAGCTCCTTAGGAACAGGGACTATATCAATTCATGTCATATCTCAATGCTTAGCATCTAGTAGGGGATGGATGGATGGATGAATGGGTGGCTGGATGGGTGGGTGGATGGGTGGATGGGTAGGTGGATGGATGGATGGGCAAGTGTATGGATAAACAAAATGAATGGGATAAAAACCACATGATTACAGTAATTTTGAGAGAGGAGTTCCTATTGACTATTTCCACGTGTC